GAAAGTCAAATTTCAGGTGAACGTCTCATTATGACAATATCTTATCTTAAGCTTTGAGGTAGGGGCTGACACTGGGGAGTCGTGGTAACATCAGGAGAAAGAAGGTTGAAAAATTAATTAGAATAATTTTTATTAAAATTGTAACGGTACTGGGTTTGGTCTACAGGAGTTGGTGCTTCGAACAGGTCAGGTTATTCCATTCATAGAAGAAGCCTTTTGATGGAGAAAGTGTACCTTCTTAGCAAAGGTTTGCCTAGGTCGAAACTAACTCCGGCTATATAAAATTGATTATAAGATTGAAAAATATTAATCTTATTATTGTAGTAGTGATACTAGGCCTATGTACACATTTTAATTATTGTTATTTATTTGTTAACGTCATATTTACATTTAAATTTAATGTATTGTTTAAATATGAATTACTATGTCCATGTAAATTTAATCTTAACTATTAAAATTGTATATTTTAAATAATATAGTAATACTCTAATAGGCATAACCGAGGTCTAACTTAGGCTAGGCCTAAACAAGTGACTAGGCCTATATCATGTGAGCGTATAACATTATGAAACATATGAATAAAACCTAAAATTGTGAAAGACTAAAGGAAGAAGGAAGAACAGGAAAGGTTTTCTGGGAAGAATGATTGTAGGTGCCAATTTTGGGCATCAGATGTGATATATTGTAACCAAATATTTTTGTACCTGAACCCTATCCATGGTGGGACTGAGGTGGGTGGCCTATCTCTCAGGGAATGATGGATCACCTGTGGAAAATGCTAATGCAATCACTATATCTTACAAAAAATCAAGCTCATTTAAAGCAAAAATATCAAATGATAAATTCAGTCAGGCTGCTATTGCAGTGTTGGATGTCATTCAAAACATTATGATCTTAGGGTGGAGTGCCAATCACTATCGCCACCTCTCGGGATTCTCAAAGTCAACAAAACAGGTGTTTTGGCAATTTTGATGGTAAAGACTGGTGATTATTGGAACAGCTAAACATCTTGGCATCTATATTTTCCAGCATGAATTAATATTTTACCGCAAACCCTTGAAGAATGATTTTCTTCAATTATATCTGTGGATGCAAGGCTCCATCACAAATGTAATGAATTTCTATGATTGTTTGTGGTTAATATCTTTGCCAACTTCAGCAGGGGAGGAGAGCAAGGACATTACACAGTATATGAGCATTGTATCCTGTTTTCGCTGAAGGACAAAATTTTGGCACCTGAATGAATATGATTCTTTATTTTAAGTGGCACCTCCCCCTCCTAGGTATGATGGGAATATAAGAAGCAAATGCCAGACTATATTGAAGGTGGAAAAGATGGCGATAATCAATTTTGAACAGGTAGGAAAAGGTAAATAATGGAATTGAATTGATATATTTTGGATATAACTAATTATAGTATTCAGGAAAAATATTGGTTGTATAGGCAAATTAAGCTGGCAGTGGCCTACTAGACTACTGCATATTCAAAAATGTCTTAGGCCCGATCGTCCACACCAGTTTGGCCCAATCGTCTGTCACCCTAAGTTTTCATCGTGATGATCAAGAAAGTACACAATCTAGCCTAGGTCCTAGGCTAGGCCTAGCCTAGCTGCCGTCACTCCGCTACGTATAGCATATAACAAAGCGACCCAAACGGTGAAATCATAAATTTTACACGCAATATTTAAATTTATTTTGCATATTAGACGATAACACAAGTTCTTTGACTAAACTATAATTATTAACGTTCCACCACGGACCTCACATCGCAGGCCTCGTGTTTTAGTGGAAAAACCCAAGCTGGAAAGTTGTTATGTACCTGACGGTCGGCTGCCTTTATATCACTTCCTTTAGTTTGCATTCAAAGGGTACACTGCTGCATATTCGGCTGTTGGAAATACAGTACCGTCATATTAGTCTACATTATACAGTCACTGCCCTGCAACCACCACGTTAAAATAACAATCTGAAATAACTTGCGAGGCACGAAATGACGTTTTGCAGCAAGACAACTCATACAACAACAGAAATAAACGTTGCATGGAGTTCATATGAAAAAACGATGTGTTTTAGCAAGTATTTAAAACTTTCTTTTTATTTTAAGCCTTCCCCAAAATAACTAAAGTAGTTGGTTTTTTTTCTTCGCCAATCCAAAATATTTTTTACCCATGGTGACTTAGCGATCAGTTAGCGTGAGCCCAGACAAAACAACTTCGCATCGCGATGAAAAACAAAATGTCAGAAAATGTTTTCATGACACATGCGCATTTTCATAAGTCTACACAAACACACGCAAAAAAAGTGAATCCAATAGTTCCTATAGCATTACCTGCACAGGAACTAAAAATATTCTGGTATAGCTGCTGGTATCAGATAATAAAATGGGGAGGGGAGAGTTTGAAATGGTCAATTACTTAACTGACTCTCCAATATTCTAATGGTCTCATAGTAGGAAGAAGGGAAGGATGTAAATTGTTCATTACTCACCTGATTCAGCCTTGTTCTAGTAGCCACTCAGTAGGTTAATCTTGACTGCTATAAACTGGCCAGATTGACCAAAAGCTTGGATGCAAATGACCAGGGTTTATCATACTTCCAGTTTCTCTTACACTATCATGTTTGGAATGCGGAATGGTCAAAGACCCTATCAGTAACCCTATCTTGCATGTAAACATGTACAGGATAGAAGAGTCAGAGTCCAGATTTAAGTTTGATGAGTAAATAACCATAGCAACTAGATAACAACCCTGTTCAGGTATATTCCAAAATGTTCCAATAAGATCATAGCCTATGGAAGCCCAGAATAGCCTACAACAGGACTCAAACCAGTTAAAGGTAGCGATTTACTGTTGCTGTCAGCATGAGTACACTAATGACCATTCTAAGCTCTCATTGAATGTTTTTCCTCACTAGGTAGTGTACTGATTTAATGCAACAACATGATTTATGGAAGCCTACCGTAGTCAGTAATATACAAATAAAGATAATGAATTTAACACTATAAGCATGATACAAATGGCTATTCTGGGCTCCTATACAAAATATTACATAACATTTCTACTGGTTTACTCCTATACAAGATCATGGGATTGTGTCATGTGACTACTCTGAACCTTAGCACGACTGACATTTAGATTGCTACTACAGTAAGTAAAGGCCACCTAAACATTGTTTAAAACTAGGCTTAAGCCCTGGTTTAAATACATTGCTATTTTTTTAATGCCTAAAGCATTGAAGTTAATATAAGATGGGGTTTAATGTATATTTCTATTTATAATCAAGCTTCATGAATATTCATAAGCTTTGAAGTACACTAGGTCATGAATTAGAAAGAGTTGAGCTGCACTACTCAACATAATCAATAAGGCAATATTTTAGTACTTGTTTTTATGACCAGTTGAAATTGGCATAAAACTAGTTTTTAGAACACACAGTACCTGTATTCATTAACAAGGAGCAATATACTATCAGTATCTTTAAAGTACTAAAATAATGCAGTTCAATGCTACTGAATATTCATAAGCTTTCCAATAGAAAGTAATAATAAATATTCATTAGCTTTGCAGTGGGTATTAATAAAAGTTATTGAATACTGAAGTAAATGTTTAGCTTTACAATGGATAGAAAGATTTTCAATTTTCTTGACTACGATGGTGCAAGTCTTCGGTCGGCAACCTCTTATTAATAGTCAATCAATCTATCAGCATTTAACGCCTCGGGTATGCACCTTTCAGACGAGACTTTTTGTCGACACTACACGCATGTGTGATGCTTAAATACTGTACACAGAGGTGTAAATCATTATATTGGGTTTTCGGCACAGGTCGTTAATTGCCATTAATTACTACCGCTAACAGGACACATCATATAAATGGCAT